TCGACGACTTCCACATCTCGTGCCAGTCGTCGAACATGAAGTTTATTTTCAGTCGTTGAACATGAGGTTTATTGAGCGGCAGCTTCAGACTGCCCTCAATCGGTTGTTGACATGGATCACTGCAAACGGTTTTAAATTTTCTTTTTCCAAAACCGATTGCATGCATTTTTGCCGCCAACGGGGTCTCCACCCTGATCCTGAGCTCCATCTCAGCAATGTAGTTATTTGTGTGGTCCCTGAGGCAAAATTCTTGGTGCTTATCTTTGACTGTAAGCTTAGCTTCATTCCGCACATCAAGCAGCTATGTGTCAAGTGTGAAAGGCTTTGAAAATCCTCCATGTTCTCTCTTCCACCTCTTGGGGTGTGGATCGATGTTCTATGCTCAGGATCTATCGTGCACTAATTTGATCCAAACTGGACTATGGGTCTTTGGTCTATGGTTCTGCCAGGACCTCAGCCTTGAAGATGCTGGACCCCATTCACCATCTGGGGCTTCGGCTCTGTACTGGGGCTTTCCGCACTTCTCCAGGCCAGAGTTTGTACACTGAGTCCCACGAACCTCCTCTTCACCTCTGTTGTTTGCAACTTTCTTTACAATATGCTGCCAAGCTTTGATCCTTACCATGGCATCCCACCTGGGATTGTGTCTTTCTCTCACGATGTGCCATGCTCTTTCGGAACAGACGGTCTGCTATTCCTTCCTTTGGCCTTCGTATCCAGGCACAACTGGCAGAATTGGGTCTGGCATTGGATGACATTGCTGTCCCCAATGATCAGCCCATTCCACCTTGGCTTATTACCATCCCTTCCCGTGACCTTTCTCTGAGTCATCTGAGGAAGGCAGATACTCCCGATTGGAAGTATCATCTTCTTTTTGCTGAGCATCTTTCGAACCATTCTTCTCTTCCTATTTACACGGATGGTTCGAAATCGGTGACTCGGTAGGTTCTGCCATGGTATGCTGTGGCTCGGTAGTTGCTTGCAGGATCCCCTCTACAGTTTCTGTGTTTACTGCCGAGTTGTATGCTATTTCTCATGTAGAAGCTATGAAGTACAGTAATGGTACTATTTACACTGATTTTCTTAGCTCTCTACTGGCCCTGGAATCACTTAACGTTAGTTCTCACCCTGTTCTCGTCGATATTCAACACTGATTGGCCCACTTTTCTCTATCTTCTGTTTCCATCCAGTTTTTCTGGATCCCTGGCCACATCGGTATTCACGGGAACGAGCTTGTTGACACCGCAGCTAAGTTCGTCTGCTCTGGTGCCATCACAGCCATTCTTGTCCCATACATGAACTGCGGTCCTGTCTTTAAGGCATGGCTTCACGACAGTTGGCAGTTGACTTTGGGTGAGCAATGTCATAACAAGCTATTCCAGATCAAGCCTACTGTTGGTCTTTGGTCATCTTGCTTCCTTAAGGATCGGAAGGAGGAAGTAGTCCTGGCAAGGCTATGCATTGGTCATAGTTTTTTAACCCATTGTTTTCATTTATCAGGTATTGACCCACCGATGTGTAGCCATTGTGACACTCAAGTCACAATAGCCCACATTTTACTGTTCTGCCGTCATTACGATCATGAGCGGCGGCATTATTTTAAACACATATTTTCTAAGAATTTACCTCTGATGTTGGACAGTGTCATTGTTAATGGTGACACTGTCTGATTAGATTGTATTTTTAATTTTTTACGCACTATAGGTCTTAATTGTATATAAATCTTTTATCGACATATATTGGTTTTAACTCACTGTATTTTTACATTTTACTTTCATTTACTTTCACTGTTTTTACTGGTTGTTTGGCGCAGATATACTTGTTGCTTTGCACCATAAAACAACAACAATTATTTCTAGAACTTTGGTTTCTGATGAAGCCAAAATCATCTTTTTTCAGTGATGTTAATATCCTCAGTGGGTTACTGGTGTAATGGGTACTTACATAAGGTTTTATCACTGTAACTGTCATGTATTGGTGTTTAGCTAGTTTCAACAAACTTGCTTTATTGAGTTTATTTTTCTGTTGATGTTTTAACTTTATTTTTTATATTTATAGGCTTTAATAATGACTGCTGCACTTTCACCATATGAAAATTTAAAGTCAAGAGTCTTGAAGAATATAGAATTGATATGTGTGGATGATAAAATTAGAAATGATTTCAGAGAAGAGTCTGAATCATGGCGAGACCTAAAAAAGGTTACAAGTATGAAAGAACTGATACAACTTCTTGAAGATCGAGATGTCTTAACAGAGTGGAATGTTGCTATTTTTGAGAAACTAGTGAAACTTCTCGGTAACAAAGAGTCAGTTGACTTAATAAAAGCTTACAAAAAACTGGAACTTTCTGATACCACTCCTCAATGTTCTGTTTGCCATTGCAAAATCCAAATCACACCAGTCCAATTGGATCCTGTTTTGTATTCAGCCAGTGATTCTGATGGTTTGTCTCAATAATTTTATTGCATTATTAAGGTGCTAAAATATAGCTTAAGCTAATATTTGTATTAAGTAAATTATTGGGACTGTCACCATGTTTTTGTTTTTTAAGTTTTTGGCTCAATTACCTAAGCCGTCCATAGTTGTGAGATGTTTAATAAATAACATTCAATTTTAGTTAATTGATGTGTACTGGTGACTGAATTTGTTTTGTTTCATTTGTAGCTAATTGATGTGTACTGGTGACTGAATTTGTTTTGTTTCATTTGTAGTTAATTGATGTGTACTAGTGACTGAATTTGTTTTGTTTAATTTGTAGTTAATTGATGTGTACTGGTGACTGAATTTGTTTTGTTTCATTTGTAGCTAATTGATGTGTACTGGTGACTGAATTTGTTTTGTTTCATTTGTAGCTAATTGATGCGTACTGGTGACTGAATTTGTTTTGTTTCATTTGTAGCTAATTGATGTGTACTGGTGACTGAATTTGTTTTGTTTCATTTGTAGTTAATTGATGTGTACTAGTGACTGAATTTGTTTTGATTCAATTTTAGTTAATTAATGTGTACTAGTGACGGAATTTGTTTTGATTCACTTGTAGTTAATTGATATGCACTAGTAACTGAATTCATCTTCTTTTTTTTTTCACTTAGATAAACCATCTTGTTCTTTATAATGCTGTTCTGGGTGATTTTATTGTGTGTCATCCTATTTTGCTTCATTTTACTGTGTGTCATCTTGGGAGTTAATTTATCTGGTGTCTGCCATGCAAGGTGGAATTGTTTAACTTGTTTATTCCAATATGCTCTCACCTACCCTCACACAAAACTATCTCAATCTTCTATCTGCCCTCTAAGCATTGCTAAAAAGTTTCATACTTAGCGAACCAGACTATATACTCCATTCAGTTTCATGCCATTTTTGAATACGTACATATTCTGTGACAGCTCTCCACCAATAGTAGTGCACCACCAGTATTGGCAGCTAACTCCCTCTGCTATTCCCACTCAGTCCTCACTTTCTCGATTTTCACAGCATTGTTTAGATGTATGTTTTTCACATGTGGCTACCATTTATGAACGTGCTTTTTTGCCATTTCCAATATTTTGTTTCAACAATTTTCTTTTTTTGCATTTATTTTTTTGTTACTGAATTGTAAGAGATCTTAGTATGAATTAATTTATTGACTACAGAAATTCCCTTAGATATTTATGTGTCCTTTGTCATCTAAAGTAATTTAGATGAATTGTCAATTAGATATTGATTATTACTTTGCTGTTTTTAGCTAAATTTATTCATTTTGCATGTTCATAAATATTACATACTTTATAGACTTGGCAAATTTTATGTTTTTTTTAGTTTGTTATTAATATGTACTTTAATTAGGTATGTTTAGGTAATTTATAAGTTACATGTCATTACTACTAGTAACATCTAATTCATTGTTCTATCTGAATAACTTTTTTCATCATTGCTAACTATATGCTTCATCATCCTAGTTTTTGTCAGTGTAAGACTGAATTATGTGTCCTTTTTTGTCTAGGTTAACTTTGATGAATTGTAAGCTAGATATTGATTATCAATGTGTTTTCTAGGTAATTTTAGTTGGTTTGCATGTCATTATTATTGCATACTTTGTGGACTAGGTAAATTTAGATGGTTTGTCTGTTTGATATTTATAAGTACTTTGTTGACTAGGTATGTTTGTGTACTTTGTACATTACATATCATTACTATTAGTAACATCTAATTCATTGTTCTATCTGAATAATTTTTTTTGTCATTGTTAACTATATGCCTTATCATCCAAATTTTTGTCAGTGTAGAACTTTTTTTGCTTTGTTACATCACTAACATGTTTGTGTCTTTCCCAATCGTAAGGCTGAGCTTTTCTATGTCTGTGATACTAGAAACCTCATTTGGTGTTCTTTCCCACAGTGCCCACATCATCAATAGCTATTTATTGCTCTTAGTCAAGTATTCCAGTTAAGGACCCTACTGTTTGGATTAACCTCAGCTCTTTAACTGTTTTGTCAGAGGGTGTGAACTCTTGCCCCAACATCTTCACACTCTGAGTCTTTGCACTCTTTCTATGGATGACTAGCTTCTGCTTGCTTCTTCCCGTTCACAGACCAGAGACCACACTCATCTGCTTCTACAAGAAGCAGCACAGGTGGGACTCCTGATGACTGTGGGGAAGTCTGTTCTTCCCCCACTTAATATCCCATTCATTTGGGAAGTTTTCTTCATTCGACCCTCAGTCAGGCCCAACCTTCTCCTCTTCATCTTTGGGTTTGGAGCAGGCACTTCACAAGTTCCACTCCTCACATTTCTTACAGTTCAAGATGTTATATCTCTTTGGGGATGTGGACTTCCTTGGAAGCTCTCCTTCCCATGGGTCATGCTCATATGTGTTCCGTTCAGTGCACACTCTTAGATCAGTGGAACTTCTCCACGAATCCCATAGACCACTCATTTATCTTTCCTTCACCAATCAGAGTCTACCTGGCTTGGTGGTTAGACAGAAACCAGATCTCATCCAGATTTACATCTATTCACGGCCTCATCTTTAGAGGGTTGTGGATCTTACCTTGACTCCTGGAAGATTTCTGGTCCCTGGTCAATCAAGGAGACTTCTCTCCACATCCCCATTCTCGAGCCTTTGGGGTTTTGCCCAGCTTTATCCCACTTCTTTCCTCTTCTGTAGGGAAGGGTGGTTATAGTACATACCAGCATCTCCACAGTGGTCATTTATATCACAGATCAAGGAGGTACCAATTCCAAGTTTCTGTACTTTCAAGTCCTGGATCTCCTTTCTGGGCCTACAGTCACCACATAGTGGTCTTAGCTTGCTAAGTTCTTGGCTCACGGAATTTCTTTGTGGATTGGATATCTCCTCCCAACAAGATTCTCCTGACTGAGTGTTCCCTCAATCCATGGGTCTTTAGGTGGGTGTGTTTTCAGCTGGGGACACCATATATGCCTTCACAAGCCACACCCGCTAAATATGGGGTGGTTCATTCTGTCTAGATTGGAGGGGTCTTCACATCTGCTTACCTTCCTATTCAACTCCTCTACAAAGTTCTATCCCTATTCCAAACCACTCTGTGTCTCGGCCTACTGGTGGCTCAATATTGGCTGGTGCAACCATCATTCCCACTGCTCTGACCTTTATTTGTACAACCTCTGTCTACATTTCTTTCAACCTCTGTTAGACATTGTTCATCCAGACATCACCACACACTGTCTTCATGCTTGGCTTTTGTCAGGTCCATTGTTTCAGCCCAGGGACTGACTCCACGTGTGGCACCTTTCCTTTCCTGATCCATTAGACATTTTTCTATGTCCATTTACCACAGGCGATGGTATACCTTCTGCTTTTGGTCTCTTCGATGTTGTTTCTGTCCTTCCCAATCTTTCATTCTTCACCAGTTGTTTGGTAAAGGCTTGTCCACTTTGACCATGTCTAGCTGTCGGGCGGCCTTATCTAACACCTTCAGTTTCTTCAGGTTTTATCTGGTTTTTGTTTTCCCCTGTCATTTCCATACTTTTCCACTCCTTTGAAGTCATGCATCCTCCATGTTTTTTTATTTGCCTGATTGGGATCTCAGTGTGGACCTTTATGCCTTTCCCATCCTCCCTTTGAACCTTTGTCTTCATGTTCCATCTACCATCTCTCCCTCAAGTCTTATTTCCTTCTCCTCCTTGCTTGCAGATGTCATAGATCAGATATTTATATCTTTACTGTTGCCTGCTTTCTCTACCATTCCTTTTATGTCATCCTGTATCCCAACTGGTCCTTCATCCCTCAGATCTATGATACCTGTGAAGGCTGTTTGGCTTTCACATTCATTTCCTTACCTCCCATCTCCCACCTGTACTCCCATTCTGATCGTGATAGGTTTCTTTTTATGGTTCGCTCCTTACAGTGTTATGTTTGGGATGACACCACTCTATTCCTATTGTTGTGTGCAATAGAGGCCTCTCTTCTCATTATTTCAGTTGCAGAAGGTTCTTTCCCTGCTCCTATGGTTGAGTTTGAGGGACTTTGTCTGCCTCTTAATACCGGCAACAGGACATATGTAGAATGTTCCATTATTCTGGATCCAGTATGTCTCATCCCTGAATTTATGGTTAAGTGATTTATGATTTCTGCTTGTAATACAATTACAGATATTGCCCACCTTCTTATGATTGAGACAATGCCACAGCCCCATAATGCCAGGTTCAATTTGTTGTACTTCTTGCTCCTACGGTGGTTTTGGGAGTTTGTCTGATTTTGGCTGAAAGCTAACTTCGTCTTTGTAATTCTGGTTGCTTGATGTATGACATTCTGTTTACTTATGGTTGGGGTTGTTGAGTATATGTAACTCGGTCCACATGCCTTAGCCACTATCTTTTTTTGATTCTCAACCTCCTAATGCCAAGGACAAGTTATGGAAACTCGTCTGTCCAGTTGAGGTTTTGCATGTTGCATGTGAATTATATTTATATTTTACTATGGATTGCACCTCTTAGAACAAATTGCCTTTATGCACATTCTCTTTTTCCACCCTCATCAGATTCATTTCCTACTTCAAGGACAAAGAGCATACCTGTTCCTGAAGTAGTGGGAAACCCACAAGTGTGCTTTGTTTTCATCTCGAAGCACACCTGTTCATTTAGGTGGCCGGTTTCTGCTTGTTTTTCAATGTTGTGCTCCTACATTGGCCCCTCCACCTTTACAATGTGGGATTCTAGTTTTGTTTGAGAGGAGGTAAGACCTTATCAGAAGTTAAAATTTTTCTTACTCTGAAAATATATTTCTTAGAGGAACTTACCTCCTGTCATACACTTCCCAATCTTTCTCCCCACAGCCATTGTTCTTCTTGTAAGGCTTGCCAATTCTTGAAAATTAGGAATGAGCGGGAATTGCAAATATAGGTGGAACAATACCATTGGTGGAGAGTGGTGATATGATATGTACATATTCAAAAATGGTGTGAAGTTGATGGGGTATATCGACTGGTGCGCTGAGCCCGAAAATATTTAACAATTCTTAGAGGGGCAGGTAGAAGATTGAGATAGCTTTTTGTGAGTAGTGGTATATACCTATCACAGATACATTTTTAGTGTAAAAATTTTTTTAACTCAGAATCCTTTAGTTTCTGTACATCCATACTTTTGATTTGTATGTATAAGCAAGAATTAATGAATATTTGAAATTTTTATGGCTTTAAATTTTGGAGGTGTTATATATTGAAAAAATATATAAAAGATTGTAAAACATAGCTTAATTTTGTTTGCCAAGGGACGTTTATTGGTTTAATAGTATTTCATGTATGAATGCATGAAAATACTTCAGCAGAATGTTCATTTCTTTTTTTGTCTAGAAATGGAAAGTGCAATGTTGTACATCAGTCGCAATTATGGGTGTAGATGGAAGCATCTTGCAAGGGCCTTGAAAGTTCGTGAAGGAGATATAGACAATATCTTCTGTGACAACCCACATGATACTTGTGAACAGACTTACCAAGCATTGCGTCGTTGGAGAGAAGAGCATGCTTCTAGGGCCAATATGAATGTACTACTGAAAACACTCAGGTCTTCTCCATGCAACCGAACTGATTTGGCTGAAAAGTTGCAGAAAGGCTATCACCTAAATTAACATATTTTTGGACAAGGTCATACAAATGATTTCCATAGCAGTAATTGTGCTACTTCATAATTTTCTGTTCAATAAAATTTTTTCAAATTAAGATTTTAGTTTGATATGCGTGTACTGGTATGAGTATTATTATGGTTTAAAACGATTTATTCTCTAAATTGTTTTTAAGATTTAGTATGTAAAAATTTTCATGTGTTTAAATGATGTGTATAAAACTAATTTTCTATGTGTATTTTATTAAATGTCTTCGAAGCCATAGATAAGTTTAGGTCAGTGGTATTTTCTTCCTAAGTTTTTTAATTGTGTATTTTGAAATTTGTATATAAGTATATACATACTTTTTCTGATAGTACGGCAGAAAACTTGTTAAGTGAGCAGAAATTTAAGAAGATACTTGATTATTTGATAATATTTTCACTTTTCAGTTCAACAAATATAATCAACAGTTAATGAACTTGGAACATCTTCAACATGAACAGTTTCTGTTTGTTTGTTTTTAAATGCAAAACAACACAATAGGCTAGCAGTGCTGTGCCCACCACAGGTATATAAACCCAGTTTTTAGCATTATAAGTTGTCAGACTTACTGCTGAGCTACTGTGAGGGCCAACTTTTAAAGAACTCAACAAATATGTATAGTATACACATTCATATAAGTGTGACGTGTTTCAGTTACAAATTAGTTTGGAACACTATTGTATAATGACTTTTGTGTACAATATAGTACATAAAACTGTCATGGTGCAACAGGCTTCAGTTACAAATTAGCTTGTAACACTATTGTCTAACAGAACTTTTGTGTACAATATAGTACATAACACTGTCATGGTGCAACAGGCTTCAGATACAAATTAGCTTGTAACACTATTGTCTAATACAGCTTTTGTGGCCAGCTCTTCTGCCTCTGGCCTTCCTTTCTGGTTCTTCTCTCCCTGATCAGGGACAGATACTTCTTCCTTTCTGCGTGTTAACTATGCTCATGTATCAGGCCTGTCTTTCTTACCTGTTTATCCTAATGTCTCTGTTGTTGTTTTACTTTGTGTCCTAACTCCATATTGCTCCACATCTTTCTTGTCATACTTGGCTTTGTGACCCCTTTGCTGTAGACTTAGGTCATGGCCCTTTTATATCTCTTGTTCATCAATCTCTTGTGCCTTTTTCTGTCTTACTTGGGGTGTCCCTCTTTCTTTTTCTTTCTTTCCAGCTATCTTTTCATTTTAGTCTATCTTTACCTCTCTGCCCTTCACATCCTCATCGTGGCTCTTCATTATGACCCCATTAGGTTTGGTGGAGACACCTGTTCTTTGTTTGTCACTTTTGTTTCTGTTTCTTCCTCTTCTGGCTCTGTTTTGATCTAGTTCCATGGTTTGTGGATGTCCTCAGTCCAGTGTCTGTATTCCATCCTCTTAAATCTAGGAACTTACAGGCCTGATCTTTAGGATGTTCCTGAGTCCCTGGAATTCCTTGATTTCTGCTTATAGGCCCAATGGCACTTCTGTCTGCCACCCATCCTAAGGAGTCTCACCAGGCTACCCCTCTACTGTTCCTTGTTCTCTCGGTTCTGTACTTCATCTCCTGTGCATAGGTTGGATTTCACTTGACATAAGGATTTGTCTCTGTAAGTGTCAGCATAATACTGTATAGGGTGCATTTCATTGGACATAATGTTCCGTCTGTAAGAGTCAGCCTAATGTTGCATAAGTTTGATTTCACCAGATTAAAAGTTTTCTTTCTAAGTGTCAGCTTAACACAGCATAGGTCGGATTTAACTGGATATAAGGTTTTGTGTCTGTGTTAGATTAACACTGCATAAGTCGGATTTCACTGGACATTTAGATCTATATCTGTATGGGTCAGCTTAATACTGCATAGATCAAATTTCACTGGACTTATAGTTCTGTAAATGTCTGCTTAACATTGCCTAAGTTGTACTTCACTGGACATAAGGTTTGTTTTCTGTGTCAGCTTAACACTGCATCGGTTGGGTTTCATTGGACATAAGGTTCTGTATCTGTAGATGTCAGCTTAATACTGCATAGGTTGGGTTTCATTGGACGTAAGGTTTGTTTTCCGTGTCAGCTTAACACTGCATAGGTTGGGTTTTATTGGACATAAGGTTCTGTCTCTGTAGATGTCAGCTTAATTCTACATAAATTTTGTACTTCACTGGACATAAGGTTCTGTCTGTACGTTTCAGCTTAACACTTCATAGGTTGGGTTTCACTGGACATAGTATTCTGTCTGTGTTTCAGCATAACGCTGCAAGTGTTCTATGAACATCCCCCAACCCCCTGTGGCTCAACTGTAAGTTTTACAGCTCACACCACTAAACAAACTGTTTGAACAGTCAACAGCAGTGGTACTTTCTAACTATTAAATTATTTATATAACCATTTTGCAACTGCATTCCTATTTTGTTGCAAACTTTGCATGAACAATATTTTTTTAAATCCATGCCAATATAAGGAGTTCATCTTTGATTGCCAGCTCTGGTTCATTTGGTATATATTTCTCATAGTAGATGTACTTACAAAAAATATAAAGCACCAAACTTATCTCTTAAAAACTATCGGAAAGTCAATTTCTGTAATAGAGTCTATACAAGCCAACTTAAGTCAATGTGTGAATTGTGTGTCTTTGTAAACAGAATAGTGAATGCTTAGATTGAGTGTTAAGTCTATTGTGTCACACAGTGAGTTTATACACAGAATGATGAATGCTTAGATTGAGTGTTAAGTCTATTGTGTCACACAGTGAGTTTATACACAGAATGATGAATGCTTAGATTGAGTGTTAAGTCT